TTTTTTGCATCTACCAAAAGAAAAAAAAAATTCCATCAATAAAAAAGTTTCACTTAATGTACTGTAAGTGTAAAGTTTAACTATGCTCTTGAAAAATGCAGATTGGCCCTTTTTCCTCTCAACCATCGATATGATAGTAGGTTTTGTTGCAAAACAGTTTTGATACGTTAGTAGGTTTTGACTCAAAAATAGTATTTTCAGGCTTGATTTGAAGGTGTTCTAGTGGGTTTTGACTAAAACTAACAGCACCAGTCGATCCAGGAGGTTCAAATTTATCGAAAATGACCTTAATCTCATTTAAAATTTTTTGACGTTAGTAGGTTTTGATTCTAATGGGATCATTATTTTATCCTATTGGTAAATGGAGAATATTGATGAGGGAATGGGTTTTTTAATTGAGCCCTTGCCATAAAGAAGGGCTAAGTCGAAAAAGTGTGTTTTGAGAAACAAGCATTTGAAGTTTTTAAATGCTTATAACTTTGGATCTAGGCTAGATAGAGAGGTGCGGTTTTTTTGGGAAATGTTTGTGCAATCTTCCTCTATCTAACAAGTGCTCATTCGAAGATGTACCTTGTTCAGAGCCTGAGAAATGTTGTTTTGAAAATCATGAAAAGTTAGGCCCTTTTACCTGTCACTTTATTAAAAAATTCACCCTAGGGACCTAGTTCCCTCTGGGGACCCAAAAATGGGAGGGGACATTGCGACAAATCCTACTCAAGTTATTATAATCCCCCTTCCCACCCTTATCGCCCTCAAACCCATTTTAAGGGCCAATATCGAAAAGTTTATTTGACTCAAAATTAGAAATTTGGTAAATGCAAAGTGCTCCTTTGTGAGAGGCAAGAAGACTCAAAATCTGACCCCACCTGCACAAAACATGCTTGAATATGTAACAGATACTGTACAACTCATTATATTTGGCTATGATATAAAAATAAACAACACTAAAATGTGCAACTATTTTCAGGCTACCTAAACCTAAGAAAGTGGTCAGAGGTGGTTGGAGGAAAACAGGTGTAAAAACTGGAAAAATTGGAGTTAGGATGTGAGTGACGGCTTGATGGAAAGAGGAAGGTCTAGGCTATCATAAAATCGAATGAAATGAAAAAGGGCCTAAGTGGTCTAAGGCCCTTCTTTATGGCTAGGGCTCAATTATTATTCAAAATTTATTTTCCTTTATTCCTTCTGAAATTGAGGTTTACTTTCATGCTGTCAAGATAATAATGATTTTTCTAGAAGATTCCATAGTTTATCATAGTAGAAATAATAACGAAACCGAGGATTAGATTGATTTTTTTTTTTTTCAAAGTGGAACTTCGTAAAATATATTTTGAGAACGGTTGAATTAAGGTAGTCATATTGAACCAGTGTTAGAGTAGGTTATGATTTGAGGAGTTTTGTTGCAAAACGCAACAAACGCCATTAGAAAAAGGCTTGTTTCTGAGCAACAACAGAGTTATAAAATGAGTCAAAATTGGTCCTATCTTGATAAATGATGACTCAATTTCTTCCTCAGGATTGACTCAATCCATGTTTGACTAAATTTTGTTCTCCCAAAGCCCTGGTGCTCATTTGAGAAGCTCTCAAGGATCCATCTTACAATTGGCGTTTGTTGCGTTTTGCAACAAAACTACTCATTTGAGTCTAAATTTAATTTCCCAAGTCCCTTGGTAAGTCTGAAATTGAAACAAACTGCAAATTATTTTTGGTTTGGACACTTATTTTTTATGAGATAAATTTCAAAATGAAAATTGGTAATATAAGTATGGTTGAAGATAATATTGAAAAAAGAATTACTTTGTATCGATGAGTGAAAAATTGTTGCCTGAAAAGTACATGGCATTGCTTTGTATTTCGCCTATGTTGAGGTCTTTCAACAAAATTTGCCCTTTGAAGTAACGTCCACATTTAGGAGTAAATGCTTCGCTTTCGATGACCTGGATATTGGTTTCTTTAATCGTGATGTTTTCACCATTAGGAGCTATGATGGAATTTTTTCGAAAAGAACCCACGTTGCAATCTGTTATCGTTATTTCTCTGATCGACGAAGGGAAGAAATTTTCTGGAAACTGGTCGATATTACTGTTGCTCACTTTGATCTGGAACAAATTTCGAACGGTTAGTCTCACATAGGCTAGAAACTAGGATTAATTTGGCCGTTAGAGGTAGGTATGGCTTGGCCAACGCAGATTCGCAAATTTTCCTCATTTTTATACAAAACTCAGTAGAATCTGGCAAACTTTGGAAAATTCAAAGTAAAAGTTAGTGGCACCTCTTTGGTGAAAAACCTCAGAAAAACGTCAGAATTGGTGCTTGTTGTAGCTTTCAGTAAAAATCTGAGGAAACCAAGAATTAGTTCTGGAAAACTCTATGAAAAATTTTGGGAAATTGCAATGTTTCTAAGAGTTTTCTCAACGTTTTCAAAGTTTTCCAGAGGTTTTCACCTAATATTCAAGAATTTCCCAATATGTTGTTCATTGAACATAGCTTTCCTTCGTTTTCAGAGTTTTTCATTGACTTTTTCTTTGTTTCCAACAATCTTCTATTGCTACAAGGTAATAAGTCATGTTGCATTTGTGACTGATGTGATATTTGTCATTATCTTGATGAAACTCATTGAACTTACTTTAAGTGTACGAGGTTTACAAGGTTTACTAGGTGTTTTAGGTGTACTAAATGTATTAGCTCGAGGATTCTGCTCAGGTTCCTCCATTTGTAATTGAGCTACATCAGTTATTGTCAGATCTTGAATCGAAGAAATAGCATGCACGTTCATGCGGACGTTAGAGCAGTTCTCAATGAGCACACTGAGATTTCCTTGGATCTGTTGAAATGCTTGCTCATGTATCTGCACGGTAGAAATGTCTCTGATCTCCAACTGTACTTTTTTCGAGGATAGATTCGTAAATGCTTTATTCTTCACTATCAAATGTACCACATCTCTGATCTCGACGTGTTTTAACTCATCAGTTTCCGGAAATGAATTCTCATCAATTACAATATTAACACCATCAGTCATGACGATACTGGAAATTTTTTCATCTTTCCAGAGAGCTTTGTTGACAGTATAATGCTGGAAACCGAAAGAAACAATTTTCTATCAGTCAATCTTGTCTTTCAACAACTCGAAATTAAAATTAATCATAAGGGTGTGGTAGACCAACGAGGCAAACTCCGCAGCGATATTTTGTAAATTACCTGCTACGATGGCATTAGGCAATTTCTCTGACTGAGAGAAAGAGAGTAAGGAGTAAACAAAAAAAATTTCGATTGAAACTTGTCGCCGTTTTTTGTTTTTGGCCTTTCTCAGCCAGTTTTGGCAGTGGCAGAATATTACTCGTATTTTGCATATGTGACGCATTGCGCGAAACTGTGTCTAAAGTCTGACAACAAGACAGGCCAAAATGTGAATTAAGGCAATTTGGTGAAAAATGAGTTTTTGTCGAATTCTGGTTGCAATTTGT